AAGGGTGGTACATGAGCCTTTGAGAAGTGGGGCACAGTGTAGCTGCTGTCGGTACCTCTGAAGAGTCCTGATGATTGTGGTTCTCAGGGAGTAAAAGAAGTGAGAGACTGGAAGCAACTGCTAACGACTGTGAAGAGCCATTACTGCTAAAAGGAGGCTGAGAGGAGCAGGAAGCAAACCGACAGGAAGGCGTTTCTTCTCCCCTATTCCTGCCTTCCAACCTCCCTCTAGTGACTTCACTTGATAGAGCTGTTATAGGGCAGCCCCGATAATGGAATTAGCTTTAGGACATCCTTTTCCCCCTAACAGAGCCAGCTGGTCAAGGAGACTATTGTTTGCAGAGTCCCTGCCCCAGCATCGCAAATGTATCTGTACCACAAATTGCAAAGGTGGAAGTGTGAACAGAATGATAAAATAGCTTACTAAGCAATGCTAAACGCCATTAAACTAAGAGTCAAGCAATGATCAATTAATGATCTTCCAATTCAAAAAGCCCAATCTGATTGTATACTCAAGACCTTACAAATTAGTATTATTCTGGGCCTCCCCTGTGGTGCAACAGTTGAGCGTTGGGTTGCAAAGCTGCCCGCAGCCTCTGCAGCGCTGGTTCGATCCCAGGCCACCTGGCGAGGGTCCCACATGGCACGCAGACCTCTCCTGCTGCCTGCTGCTGCCCTCAGCAGTGTACTTCGGTCCTTCTGCCTGTTCTGCTACCTGCTCTGGCTCTGGTGAATTCTCTCACCCTCCCGCGCTTCTGACTGTATTCAGTGCTTGTATAAATAAATCTTTTTTTTTAAAAAAATAGTATTATTCTGTTGAGTTTATCTGCTATTAGACATGTTCTTGGATATGTTAAGTCAATATAGTTATTTAATTCTCCAATCTTGGACCTATAGGGCAGATACTGTTTTAGGTGGTTGGGTTTTCACACTAAAAAAACAAAACAAAAAACCCAGTGTAGGGTCAGGAATGACACTGAGCAGGTTTTCTGATCCCATGCAGACCAGGTAAAGGAGGAGTTAGAGCCCTCAGTGGTTTTTTGCAGGTTTTTAATTGGGATTTACCCGGTACACAGCAGGCAAGGGTGCTGGAGGGGCGGGAGGCTGGCAGGCCTCTCAGCCCCCAGCAAATCTTCACTCTATCTGGGCACTCTGGTGTTCTCTCTCGGCTTCTGCTGCTTCTCCGTTTCTCTTTCTGCTTCTACTCGTTCTTGGCTTCTTCTGGCGTCCCCGTGACGCCACCCTTAAAAGCCCAGTCTTTCAGCCCAGGTGTACCCACTTCAGGTGCCCGCCATCAGGCATGCATTCAGGACCACAAGTTTCCCTCATCTGTCCTAATGGCGGGAGGGCAGAAAAGCCTGATACCTTTTACCTACCCTACACCCAGGTACTTGTCAACCTTTATAGAACTTTCTAGTGAAGGGAAAACAGACAATGAGCAAAGATGGCTACTATAATGAGAAAATAAAGCAAGTTAAGGGAGGGGACATGCATTGGGGCTGTAAAAGATTTCAATGGTAATGTGAAGTTTGATCAAAAACCCAAAGGAAAAAGGGAGAATGCAGCATGAAACTTGTGGGGGAAGATATTTTCAGTAGGAAATATTTGCATTTGATAAATGTGAGGTTTGTAAAGATTTTGCACATGGAGGATTTTCAGTGAATTTGTACTTCATTTTTTTAAAACTATTTGCATAGTTCTGCTTTAGAACTTTAGTTCAGTAACATTATTATCAAACATAGTACCAAGTTCATTATTCCACGAACCATTGCTAATATCTTTGACTGAAGGTAAAACAACATTTCTTCACCCAGTAGGATATAAAAAAAATTGCTGATGGTAAAGGGGAATTAGCTGGCTTGCCTCTTCTATAAAATACTTTTTTGTTTCAGGGGTAGCTATGAAAATTTAGTAATAGTCTCAAACCTTTACTTTGAATTATTTGAGTAAATGTAAAGTGGTCAGCACTGTCCATAATTACTTCTTTGTTAAGAGGTCAACCTTTGTTTTTTAGTTTAGAGTTACTGAACCTCAATAATTGGCCAACAGACTAAGGCAGAGAGTGGGGTGCACATCATCAGTGCATTTAACCCAAAACAATGAAAGCATTGTTGGTATTATGATCATGTTGCTGTTTCTTTAGATAATATTTTTCTTGACAATATACACATATATTGGATTCAATGGTGCCGTAACTATTAATATTTAACTATAATTTAGTGTAGCTTCAGCCGGTTTGTTATTCAAACAATAAGGTGAATTTATCTGCAATGTTAAAAGAGCTGAAATTGGTAAAACCTGGTAATAGTCCTAAAGGTTTTGAAAACGACAACAGTAATTCTGGCCCTTGAAAAATAATGATCTGTGCCATGAAATATAAAGGATTTCTCGCAATAATTTTTTAAGGCTGGGGTGGCATAGCTTTGTGGAGAAGAGTGTGATTTATGACAACACAGCAAAAGTAGAAATCTGAGTTACCTTAGTAAATTTATTTTTAACTTTTAAGAGGAATCTTAGGTTAGTGGTACTCATTGGAAGACAACAACTTGGTTCTGCCAGATGAACAGTGGCTTGTATTATTTGCACTTACTTGGCCTCTGTGCCTAGGTTCTTCCCTCTTTTTAGTGGGGATCTTAATAATTGCTACTTCCATGGTAAACGTGTGCTTTGACATTTCTGACTAAAGATGCTGTATCAACATAAATTATTAGAACATAATGCAAGTATGCATACAAAACACTAGCGTGGTGCTTTTTTAATGCTTATATATCTGTAAATGTTGCACTTTCAAGGCTTCCTCTTTACGTCAGAGGAGAATATACTCATAGTATCCCACTAATCCAACATCTCATAGTATGGAGGAATGTATTTCTTAAAACTCCCCATCATCCTTTTGAGAAGTACTAAGCCTGTTAATCCCTTATGGTCTCCAGCAATTGCAGGACGGCCCTCACAATAAATTTTTGGCAGCTTTTCAAATGTTGGCTAAATTACTTTTTTTCTGTAGACTGGACCCATCAGGGAAAGGTTGGGGGAATGAAATTGGAGAACAATATTCAATTTTTGATTGTTTTAAGATTTAACTGAATATCAACAACATGTTAAAGTACTAGTTAAACAGGTAATTAGTTGCTTCGCAGTGGGCTCTAAATTTAGCAGTGAAATTAGGTTTAGGGAATGCGAAAATAAGAGATTTTCTCAAGGGAAATATGGTGTCAGCACAGCGGAGGAATGTCACAATAGCTACGTTTCGTCAATTGTGATCATGATCAGGGAATCTCCCAGGGCAAGGTCAATTTCATAAGTGCTTCCTGAGGACAGGTGATAGAAAGGAGTGGCTGTAGTAGATGGACTTAACAGGGCATGTCAGAGACAGACAGGCATAGAGTCGGAGAGGAGAAAGGGGGTTAGAGGAAAAGGGGTATTAAATCTCGCGTTTGGAGGCTCGGGGGTAGAATTTAAAGAAGAAAAAAAGAAGAAAGAGCGGTGTGCAGGGGTAGAATGGTGTGTAGTCCTGCAGATGAGTAAAACCCAGCAGGCAAGTAGGTGGAGGGGGAGAACAGCGTGCTGCTGGCGGCAGGCAGGCATCAGTTTAGCTGCGATAGGCGGTTAAATCCTCGCTAGACTTTGTTATAGGACCACATTTGCGGCTCTCCTGGAGATGGCAGGACCTCCATAAAATTAATGGTGTCAGGACTGAGGACGTGTGTCCTCTGCCTCCAGTTCCCCCCGGGACAGTCCAGACTGTCCACCCCCGTCCTGCAGAACTGCCAGTGCCTGTGGCTCAAGGTCAGGCCACCAGGGCTGTGCGAGGCGGGCGGGCGAAGAGCACCAGGGGGCGCAGCCATTTGCGGGGGAGGGCGGGCGCGCGGGCTGTGGACCACGGACGCCCCTCTGGCAGGCAAATGTTTCATTCCCGAGCTCGCTTTCCCGCGATCAGTTCAAAGGAAAACAGGCCACGGAAATAAAATTACACGTGCGAACATGCAAATACACCAAGCCCCGGAAAACCCCACCGCACTCGAGGCGCGCCGAGGGGGAACCCCGAGGCCTCCTGTTGCCGGCCGCCCCACGCGGACCGCAGACAGCCGCGCGGCCGGGGACGCAAGCGCGAGAAGCCAAACCTGCCGGGGTCCCTCTCCTCGCCCGGCTCCGCTGACCCTCTCGCCAAGCCGCCCGCCCAGAGAAAGGAGCCAGCAGCGCGCCCGAGCAGCCGCGCCCCGGCGCGCCGGAGGGACGAAGGGAGGGGACCGGAGAGCACAGCCGTCCCGGGCAGCCGGGGCGTCGCCCCGCGCATCCCCCGAGCCCTCCCGCCGGCCGCGTCCCGCTTCCCACACGGGAGCCTCCGGCTGGGGCAACGCAAGGGCAGCCCCGTCTGGCCTCGCCCTCCCCGCCCCCACTCGCCCCGGCCCCGGCCCCGGCCCGGCCCGGCCCGGCCCGCGGGGGAGCGCCACCCGCGCGAGGCGCGCACCGCCGTCCCGCCGCCCTCCGCCTCCGTCTGCGCCCGGGCCGCGGCGGACCCGCGAGGGGCGGAGTGGGCGAGACCATCGGCCCCGCTGGACGGGGGTAGCCGAGCCCGGCTCGAGGGGCGGGGCCTCCTAACCCAGTCCAGATTTCCCGTTCTTTTTCAAGGCGGCTGTGCGAGAAAGACCCGTTATCAGAGTGGAGAGAAGAGATTTTTTTTTTTTCTGAAAGGGGAGGAGCGTGGGGAGGAGGGCGGGGTGGGGAGAGCCGCGGCCGGCAGTCGGGGATCAGACGGGAGCCGGAGTTGCGCGGGGCGGGCGGGCGCGTCCCAGAGCCGGCTCCGAGGGTCGGCGGCGCTCCCCCTCCCGCGCGGGCGGGTGGTGCGTTCCGAGTTCCCAGGAGTTCGAGGCGGGCGGGTGCCGGGGGGAGGGGAGTGGCGGCGGCGGCGGCGGCGGCGGCGGGCGGCTCCCGCCTCAGCCTCGGCAGTGGCGTCGGCGACGGCGGAGTCGAGGCGGCCTCGAGCGCTGGGCTGTCAGCCGGCGGCGACGGCTCCAGAACTGGGAGTTGAGGACGCGCGCGCCGGACCTTCCGCCGCCGCCGCGCCGCGGCCGCTGCCGCCGCCCAAAGCCTGAGGCGCCGGGGCCGGGAGCCGGGGGCGGGCGGGCGGGCGGGCGGGGAATGGCGCGGACCCCGGCGCCGGCTGCACTGGGTCCCGGAGGCGGCAAAGCACAACTTTCCTCCGCTTCTCCCCCCGGGGCCGGACTCCTGCTGCCGCCCCCGACGCCGCCGCCGCTGCTGCTGCTGCTCTTCCCGCTGCTGCTCTTCTCCCGGCTCTGCGGTAGGTGGACGCGGCGGCCGGCGGGGCTGAGGCGGCGCGGCGGGTCCCGGGCGGGCGGCGGGGCCGGGGGGCCGCTCCCCGCGGCGGCGAGGCGGTTGTGCCCGGCCGTTGGCGGCGCGAGCGGCCGCCGCGGACTTTGGCTGGAAACTTTTCGCCGCGCCCGGGGCGAGGCCGGGGAAGCGCCGGGCCGCTCCCTCCCCCGCGGCCGTGCGGGCGCGCCCGGGGCTTCTCCCCGCGCGCCGGGGCTCCGCGGCCCGCGCGGCTCTGGGGTCGCTCGCGGGACCGTTACTTCCTGCCGCGTTCGCGGGGAGACCCCGCGCGCCGGCTGGGGCCGGGCTGAGGTGCCGGGGTGCACGTTTGCCGCCGCCCGCCGCCCCCGCTCCTCCTCCTGCCCCTGGTGAAACTTGAGCTTTGATCGGAGGGACCCTGAGGGACCGGCGCCCGGCGGAATGAAGCCTCGGGGTCCCCCCTCTGGCCGTCCTCCTGGAGGAGGCACCCGGTTACCCCACCCTGCGGCATCCCCCACGGTCCTGCTCTCCGGCGCCCCGACCCTGTTCCGCCCGGCAGCCTCGGGATGGCTTTGCGTGGAGCCCCCCGCCGCCTGCCAGTTGGGGGGCGCCTCTCGCTGTCCATGTTTTGTTAGCAAGCCCGGTTGGTTGTTTGGACCGTGGATTTTGTGTTCCGGGGCCCGATGGGCATCTTCTGTGCGCCTCTCCTTAACATGCACGCTTCTTGCCCTTCTTCCATCAAAGAATGTTACAGTTTCCTTGGCATTTTGGGGAGCTGGTCTCTTTGTAAGTTGTGTTCTGGCCTGTTTATTCAGGGGCGTGAGAAAATCTGCTTTCATGCAGGCGAGATGGACGAAAGGGATTATTAAGTGGGTGGTGATGATTTGGGGAAATAAACCCCTCACTCTTTGGGGATTAGTTCTGTCTTTGGGTGAATTGAAATATTGCAGGACGTTGTTCATTCGAGGGAGGGCTCCTGGTGAGGAAGGTGGAGAGGAGCAAAACTTGATTTTGCACAAACATTGGCTTACCTAAGAGGTTTTTACTGGCATGTTAAGGCTGAATTTCAAAGAGATGTATGCAGATTTTTTACGTAGTGTCACTTAGGAGAGAATTCCGTTAGGGGTAGGTGTGTTAGTTTGATTGGTTATCAGAGAAGCAAAGTTCTCAAGAGATTGAGTGCCCCTTATAGGTTGAGAATTTTCACTACCAGTTCACCACCACCTTGGAAGCATTGTAATGAAAGTTTCCTCTGATTTACTGTGTGATAAATGGCGTGTTATCTAATCTGCATTGTTTCTGTCGCCCCTCTTCCCACATGTTTGGTTCCAAGACACATTTCTTCATGGTTGTATTACCTTTTTAAATTGATGCAAGAATCTAGATTGAAATTGTGTACTGTTCTTTTCCATTAGGATTGTGGATTACAATCGGGTGGGAGGAATGTTGGGGAGGGTGTTAATAGTTTATTACCCTGACTTAGATTGTGGTAAGGACTGAGAAAATATTATTTGTAGCTCCAGTAAAGACTTAATCTAGCAGGGAAAGCCTTATGGAAGACTGAAGCTAGGTACAGCAAGTACTGGGAGATAGAATTTGGGTGATAACTTCACAGTGATTGTGCAAGTGAAGTGTTGATTACTTTTTGAAGGAACAGATTGATTTTCACATGGAAGAAAATGTTTTTTTAAAAAAGTATTTAATCATGTGTTGTAGGAGGGACTTGAGTGTTTAAGAGTCCTAAAAATTCAAGCAGTGTAGGCAAAAGGACTGTGATTTGGAGGAGGTGTAAATTGAAGTTTTTAGAGTCGCCTCTGCCTACGGTTGTAGAGACAGGCACTAGCTTTGTGAAAACTGTGCACTGCTCATTTGAAGAGCTTCCTTTTTTGGCTTATAGTGTTATAACACCCTAATTTGTGAGTCCTTGTGACAAGTTTTTTTTTCCATCAACCTTTCTCTATTTTAGAATTCAGTCTGAGTAGGGCACAGTTGTGACTTAATGGATGCATAGTAAGTATGGAAACAGAATTTTCTTCATGTAACTTATTTGTTGATCTAACATTCACAGTACTACTTACTTACAGGGTTTGGCATCCTCAGTTGAATCGCTTAAAAGTTGAAAAATTTTTTAGAGTTACTATCAAATGATTTGTTAATCAGAACACTTATTACAGATTTCTTTATGCTGCAAATACTACTTACATTTAGCACAACCTTCAACTAGTCTCATACTAGTCTCATCGATTAGCATAAGATAATGTTTATATCCTGTTCATTTTACTACTAAAAAATGCTCTCAGCTGGTGTACTTGATATTCTGAAAGCTATAAAAAATACTTAAGATTTACTGTTTTGAGGGCATTCATTATCTGTCTTATTTGAAGAACTGAACTTTTAACATGAGAATCTTACAGGTTGACAAATTGCCAGTTTCTCTTTTTTCAGTCTAAAAAATTCCTAAATATAAAAGCTAAGGGGGCTAGATTTACATCAACATCCAGGTTGATAACCTTGTTTATCAAATTCTGGGCTTCTGTATTTCTTTCTGAGGCAATAATCAATTTATAGGTGTTCAGCTTTATCTCACCTTTCCTTCCAATATTTTTCTTGAGAGATAGAAAATATTGGCAGGTGTTCATATGGTATTGATGAAAGAGAATATGGACTAATTTACCTTTGCAAATTGCCATTTGAATCTAGGATTCTGTCTGCATTTTCAACAAGGTTTTATGTTAAGATAGATGTTGAGAAGGTGATGGAAATAGAAGATCTAACCTGATATTGAAGCTTGAACAGCATTTTCAGTACTTTCTATGCCCAGGAACTTAGGGCATTGTAATAGATGTAAAGGAAATAGATGACTTTAGAACATGATAGAGACCTGCATTGAGGTACAGTGAATTCCTCAGAAGAGGAATAACTAACCCATTCGGTAAAGGTATGTGAATGTGAACTGAGGGGGAAAAATTAATTTAGAAAAATCAATAGTCCGCTGTTACTGAAATTAAACATTTTGGTGGATGGTACAAGTTCTTTGTTTCTCTGTGCAGTTTTGTGTTTCAGATACTAAGCAGGCAGTTTGATTCTGAAAAAGGGCTGCCACTTAGTAGCTGTGTGAATTGTTGGTAAGTTATTTAACTTCAACTGAAGGTTTCTCATCCTTTAAAAAAGGTTGTGTTATCACCTTGCTTATAGAGTTCTTTTGAGGATTAAATAAAAGAATAAAATCACACACTTAGAGTGCATTTAATATGGTAAACATACAAATGCTAGCATTTATTGTATTTCGTGTTATAAACTGACCAGCCTGGTAGTTATCATTCTTATTCTTAAATTCTACACGTATGTCTTAAATGATTACATTTTCAAGTTAATTGAGTTGTATCTTGCAGTTATATTTCTCTTTTGAGTATCTAGCCCAATTAGTGGTCTTTAAATATTTACTTTTCTTCAGATAAATAGATCTTTAGAATACGGTGCAATTAACTATGTCATTGTATGGCACCTGGTTGAATCTTCCCTTTATGGTATACTGTGCATTTTAGGACTTGGCAGTTCATGAGGTCAGAGTGTTGGTGATTATATTGAAACTGTAAAGGTAGAGAGGGGAAACCACAGTTTTGCTTCTACTTTCGTATGAAGTTACTGGTAGTATCTAGTTTAAAGCTTGTAAGGCCATATTACCCATATGAGTCTTTCTGCATAGAACAGTTGGAAAGTGAATCAAATTTAGAAGCAGGCAAAAAAAGAGCAGTCTTCCTTCTTGCTTTTAGCTATAGCACCAGGAGCAGAAATTGGAAAAAGCTGGGCAGTTATGTATTGTTTTTGTTTGTATATTTACTTTTTTTTTTTGTCACTTAGGAATGCATATATTTTATATACACACATTAGTGACTCAGCACCTCTGATATACATTGTGTGTCTGTATAATTAAGGAATAAAACATGACTTGTTGCCTGTTATTTGAAAATTATTGAAAAGAAGCGGGGTATGGTGCCCTTGTTTAAAAAATAGTGTTTTGACATTCTGTAATTTACTCTTTAAAAAATAGTGAATAATATATTGTTATTGCATATTCTGTAATCTGTTAATCTTCATAAAACTTGATAATAAGGACTATATATGTGCAAAACTGTGGCATTTAATGAATGGCGATTTATGCACAAATGTAGGGTAAAAGAAAATAACCCTTAATTTAGTAGTAGAATAAATACTAGAAATGATTTTGTGTGCTAAAAATTCAGATCCAGAAATCTAAACACCAGCATTAATATACTTGTTCTGATTACCTTTCATATTTTTACCTCAAACTGCCTTTAAAGTGTTAGCCTATATCCTTTCCTGAGCACCATAAAACTTAAGATTTTTATTCTTATAATAGACTTTGATATAATCACTTAAAGTTTGTTGTGAATCTTTCTCAAGGGTGAGCTTAAATTTTTTTCCTAAATATTTCACTTATTATAGAACTCATTAATTTAAAATTCTAGTGGGAACTGCCTCCTATGAGAAGATAGAATCACACTGCAGTTGTTTAGAAAGGATAATGCATTGCATATACATTTTGCATATTGTCAGTTTTATATTCCCTTAAATGCAGCATCCAGGGAGATTGTTTTTCTTGCAACTCTGTTGATTGACCAATATTCATTTTGCTAACTAGGATGATAGGAAAGGATTACCTGTTGCATTGTGAGTATGTATTCATGAATTGGAATTTGAAGCATGTGTAAAAACATATCAGCTCTTTAACTGGTTAAGAATTGACAGTATGTTATTTCACACTTCAGATGATTATTTTCTAGGTGTAAAACAGTAAGTTTTGTATGTGACCCTGAAGATAGGATAGGTGATAATAGTTTTCCCCAAAAAAAATATTTATTTGGTTTTCTTTAACAATGATAAAAAGATCAAACTTGTTTTTTGTTTTTTTTTAAGATTTATTTATTTATGCATACTAGAGCTGGGGTACAAGCCAGAGGTGTGGGGGTG